GTTGTTGACCCTCTTGACTAAGCTCTGACCCCTCGTTGTTGACCATTTATGATTTTTTCTTTTAGTCCGACCCCATGTTGTTGACCCTCAAGATTCATGTCTTGACTTAACCCCTACCCCTCATTATTGATAATTTATAACTCTGCCTTTAGTCCGACCCCATGTTGTTGACCCTCAGGACTCATGTCTTGACTTAGCCTCTATCCCTTATTGTTGACTGTTTATAAATTTACCTTTAGTCCAACCCCACGTTGTTGACCCTCAAGACTCATGTCTTGACTTAGCTCCAAATCCCTCTTTGTAGACAATTTATAACTTTTCCTTTAGTCCGACCCCACGTTGTTAACCCTCAGGACTCATGTCTTGACTGACCTCCAACCCCTAATGTTGATTATTTAGTCCGACCCCACGTTATTGACCCTCAAGATTCATGTCTTGACTTAACCCCTACCCCTCATTATTGATAATTTGTAACTCTGCCTTTTGTCCGACCCCACATTGTAGACCCTCAGGACTCATGTCTTGACTTAGCCTCTATCCCTCGTTGTTGATTGTTTATAAATTTACCTTTAGTCCAACCCCACGTTGTTGAACCTCTGGACTCGTGGCTTGGCTTACATCCAACTCCTAATGTTGATTATTTTTTCCGACCCCACGTTGTTGACCCTTTATTAATTCTTCATGTCTTGAATGAACTCCGACCCCTCGTTGTTGACCGTTTATATAATTTGCCTTTTATCCTTTCCCACGTTGTTGACCCTCAGGACTCATGTCTTGACTTCGGTCCGTCCCCTCTGGGTGACCTTTTAGAAATTTCCCGTTTGTCCGACCCCTCGTTGTTGACCCTTTATTAATTATTCATGTCTTGAATGAACTCCGACCCCTCGTTGTTGACTCTCAGGCCTCATATAATGACTTACATCTGGCCGCTTATTGTTGACCCCTCAGAACACTTTTTAGTTTGTTTGAGGGAGAAGTTTCAGTGACAGCGGCATGATTGAAGGCGTAAAAAGGTTGTCTGAACTGTCATTGATATTATGTACTAGGTATGTCAGTTTACCTGTCTTTTTGGACTTTTCAGAACTGTGCAAAGAGCTCCTTT